AATGGGAAAAACACATTTTTACCCCATAAACCCCTGTTCCTATGTCCGATTATGCTGGATCGAGAACTCGTTCGAATAAACGTAGGTTTACACGTTTGTACCAAATTTCATCAAAATCGGATCATTATTGCTCTAGTTATCGCGCTAACGGACACATATCTATATATAAAAGGCAAAGCCCTCACTGACTGACTGACTGACTGACTCACTCACTCATCACTAATTCTCCCACTTCCCATTTACCTAGGAGGCTGAAATTTTGTACACTGATTCTTTAGGCATTAAATAGAAAAACTAAGTAGTTTTTATTCTGATCGGACTCTTGGGCTCCGCCCCAGTGGCTCTGGAGTTTCCCAAGTTAACCTTATGATTTTTCATATTTAAAAGGAATTAATGAATCTTAACAGCTGTTTCAATTAAACAAGTTGGTTCTATTCTATGATGTTCAATAGCATTAAAGTTACAAGGATTACCAACAGGGCGCAGCACTATTATTTTTTAAATTTATGACAACAGCTAATTTGCAACCAAAAGGTGAGTGAGCGTAGCGAACGAACTTCAACCTAGAGGCGAGTTAGCGTAGCGAACGAGCTAACTTGAAGGCAAGTGAGCGCAGCGAATGAGCTCCAACCTAAAGGTGAGTGAGCGTAGCGAACGAACTTTAACCAGGACGTGATTGAGCCATGCGAATACTTATGAAGTTAAACGGGGCAAAGCCCGCGGGTACAGCTAGTATATATATATATTATAAATATATATATATATGAATTTGAACGGATGATGTTTTTGGCCTCTTGGGACCTCAAAATGAAAAAAAAATCAGTCCCGCGTCCAGGTCTTACCATGAGTACTACGGTAATAGCTTATTCCCTATATGGGAAATTCGCTAAAAAGAAGATGTGCTCGCACAAAAACCGGTTGGGGACAATATTCCCAAATACAGTGATACACAATAGAGGACATGTTAACGCATAGCAGTACACCAATTCCAAAACCCAGGAATGAATTTGAGTCTTTAGAGAAGAAAATTCGTTCCTGGGCTACGACACTGGTACTATACTTTGCGTGAACATTTATTATACTATGCTACGCGTGATATGTCTTCTATCACGAGACTTTATGTGTATCACTGAATTCAGGCCTATTGTCCTGCAATATTCAATCATTTATTTGTAGCATAAACCAGTTTACAAAATGATTGTACATAATTTAGTAGGTACATGCATTTTACAATTAACGAGATAACAATAACATCGTAAGCTACAAGCAGGTATAATATCAATAATCAATTATATCAATTATTTAAGATGGGTACGCCACTATGTGTGTATTTAAACCCAAATATGAGTGTAGGATGAATGGTGCGATCTTGTAGTCTTGTTAGTGAGTAAGGCCGACATGTTCCTTAGACACAGCTGTTAATTAATAGCCCATACAGCCAATGGCAACCAAGGGACCTATAGTTGATAGTGGAATCCGATAAAACAAACGAATTAACTTAATTTTAACAACTAATTACAGAATTTAACACTCACAAAACCGTAGGCCTACTACTGTTGTAACTTACTTTTTACTCAGTATAGGATCTATAAACACTAGCATAGTACCCGTCGTTCGTACGAGGTTGGCGTATGTATAAGTCTGGCCAGGGCGGCTGGCCGGCGATCCCCGAGGGCCTCCGGCTCAAGGTGGCCTCCAAAAGCCAAAAAATCAATAAAAAAAAATTTAGTTATAATAAAAAATATTTTGTTTTAACTGTTTCACAGCGACGTAGTCTTGCAAAAACAATTTTTAATAAACAATACTATTTTTTTTAATTGAATTACAGTTAGGGGTAGCCCCTAAGTACAGTGATAGTCACTCGGTACTAGAGGATAGTCACCGATCTCACTGCAACACACCGTTCGAATCAGCTCAGTGCCCAGCGCTCCGCGGTAGTGACCACGGCGCGTCTGCGATATGTCTGGAGTCTGGACTCAAGCAGACCGCTTAGCGCTTGTACTAGTATAGTGATGGGACAACCGACTGGAAAAAAAACTATCGACTAGTCAATTTGTCAATCGGTCGTTTTTAAAACCAGTGTTTTTTTTTCAGTCGAATGAAAAACCGAGAGAATTCCACTACAACAACAACTGGTGGCGTTCAATCGGTGCAGTGGTTTCAGTCATTGCAAAGAAAATTATCGAATATAATTTTACTTTAAACATTGGAGTTTTCCCGCTTGATTCCTATTGTTTGCTGTCATTTGCATTAATATTTTGTTACTTTTGTATAAAACGTAATAGAATGACAACATTTACGATTAATACAAAATTTTTAGTTTATTACTGCAAGATTTAAATTATTCAGTAGGCCTAATGTCTCTAACTCGGTATAACAAATATTCCTATTTATTTGTTACCTGGTTTTTAAAACAGATTTTACTACAGGCATTAAAATCCAAATCATCAGTATATAAAACACAGTGTCTTGGCAATTTTATATTTTTTAAACAACAAAAATAAATGCAATTACATTTTATGTATCATCCCTAAAAACTGTTCCCAATTCCTATCCGTCAGTTTATCTACAACTGATTTTATTCGAAGTCAGCCCCCATCTCTACACCAAAAGGTCCGACGACTGTTTCCAATCATTCCTACGTAGTGGGTTATCACGTATTGTTTGAAAGATTACTAACACGTGAATCGTTCAGTTTATAAAATGAAACGTGTGCACCCAAGTGGCGCAAGTAAAATAAAAACGGATAGGAAATATTTCAAAATAAAAACAAATTAAATTCAAATTGTTTGAATTTATGGTTAGCAGGTTAGCTGGTTTCAGTTCCGATTCTGCTAACAATGAGAAGTCGCAAACAGGCAGGCGGAAATCATCAAAAGTTTTTTGTAAGCCTTACAACGTTTAAATTAAAATACTTTTGATTATTTCTGTTTGTCTTTGTTGCTGAAGTACAACTATGGAGTAAAGTGTGTGATAAACAGTAAATGTGGTCCATTCATAGATGTATTCAAAATTCAAAAGTGGTACGTGATATGCTTTTTTACCATGTATGGCAAAAACTCCAAGAACTAGGTTTTGGTCTTATTTTTAAATTGAAGACTTAAAACAATTTTAAGAATAGGCCTTTAAACTTTACGGCAGCTTTACGGCAGCTGTAGAGGTGAATAGAAATATGAGCAAATTTTATATCAAATTTAAATTGATTGATACCTTGGAATTAAATTTATAAATACAAAGATTTTAATTTATGGAAATTTAGCAATTATTAATTTAATCAAAATTATCAAAAACTTTTAATCATTTAAAACCACATTAGGCCCCTTTTATGAACCTGCAGCATGCAGCAAACATATATGCTAACTAATTGTTGCCGTGAGAGCACCCCATGGTTTTATTTCTGGCTGGGGGCCTCAAATCAACATCTAGCCGAGGGCCTCCAACGGAGCCAGACCGGGCCTGCAAAGGTCAGCTACGTATGTGCTTGCGTTAACGCTCGAAACATGGCTAGCACATAAATCCAACTGTTAAAATTTCTAACACGAGATAATTCAGAGAGTACAACTAGAATTGCACAATGGACAAATCAATGTCAATCAACCAGCTACTGCATCGTCTTGCCTACATAAAAATATTGTGATATTAAGGGCATTATGCTCTATTGGAAAGAAATTTCTATTTTAAATTCATGTTTTTATTAAGAACATAATAGCTTTGACTATTAATACAACTAGACTTGGTCATTACTAGTAACTACAACCATAGTAACCAACAAGAGTGGGCTTCTTGACTTTCTTATAAATTTTGAAGGTCTTTTTTCGTGTCTAGTTCATGTTGGTGACACTGATGACTAGTGTCGACAAAATTTTGTTCCTATTATTTTAGGGTAAATTTTGTGATTTTTTTCTTTGCCGTTCAGTTATATAACTAGGGGACGAGTTATTGTTTATGATCACATCATTTTATTTGGTTAATCGAGTTTTAGCTGAAGTAACAAGAAACAAATTGTTACAAAACACGAACCAGTACACCAGACAGAACTAACAGCAAAATTGTCCTCGGCTGATCCATAAGGATGAGAAATCTAGGGAGCATGTTTAGCCTATCTAATTATATATCAATGGTTTTATGATACAACTTAATATTCTTGCGTTACACGATTTTTGGCCTATGTGTGTATTCGTTTGTGAGTAAATTTTCACCTCGTAGACAGTGCTTATTAATTGTGAATGTATGTGTAATTTTTGTGAATATTCCATGTGTTATGACTCATGTTATGTGTAATTATAGTTCAATATTTTTGCTTGTTGTTAAGTAGGCCTACTGATTAATACAGTGTTTGTCTTGTTAGTATTATTTTTCAAATATCTAAATTCTTTTTGTGATTATTATTTCCACACAAATAATGTTGACACAATTTATTAACTTTGATGTGAGTTCTGTTATAAGTTAACACTTATTGATACTTCTACAGTGTGTATTGTATTGTTTTAGTATCCTAACAATAATGTAAACTTTTTATTTAATAAATAATAAAGTTGATTTTAATAATAAATAATACGGCAAATAAATACCCTAATATTTTATAAATACCTAGCTAAATTTCTTCCTCCTTATAAAAAAAAATGCCAAAATAATGAGAAAAAAAACTTGTTTACAAAGACCTAATAAAAATAATCCCCCGGTATAGGGCCCCTTCACAGCATGTAGCTGAGGGCCCCAAATTGTCCCAGTCCGGGCCTGCAGTAAACTAAAAATGTACAAACAATAGCGGTTCTTGGGCCTTGTCAAGGGGAGGGGAGCTATTGGGGGTGTCCTACACCAAGAGGGGTGTCTATACTTTATACTTTTAATACTTTAATATATTTCATTGAAATAGCGACCATACAAAGTAGGTATTTTAAGCCAAGTATGAATGGGGATGAGTTGCGCGATGTTGTGGTACTCCAGTACAGCGTATTTCATTCTAGTTCTATTAATTTATTGAAGTTAATTTGTTCCAGATCCATCGTGAAATTAAAATAGGCAAGAGTGAAGTTTCGACCATCTTAAACGTCAATTAGGGTCATGAGCAGCATGAATTAATGCAAAAAATTAATGTAAACTATAAGCCCATGCTTTGTAAATATGTAAAAAACTAATAAAGTTGTTATTGAAAGATTATATTTTTATTACATCAGAATGAAATGCAGTTTTCACTTTATTAGCAACTAACAGAGTACCCGTCCGTACGGGGTTGGCGTATTAAGTATGAAACTAGGTGAACCCGTGCGAATTCGCACAAATAATAAATTAGGATATTATAGCAACGTCGTTAGAAGTTGCGTCATTGTATCAAACGTTGGTCTTGAGCTTGATCGTTGGCTATATGCATTCTAAGTTCTTTTTGCTGTTCAGTAGGAGTATTTTGCAGGACGGAGCTCATTATGCTGAAAACCTGCGCGTATGGATTAATATCAACAAAGTTTTTAGCCGAAATGTGCATGAGTTCAGTGCTGCAAGAGCCATTAGCTTTGTTTAGCATTCTTTCTTGAACAGCGGGTTCGACGCCGTAGATATAAATTTGGGCGTATGTGGGATGCTCCCCTTCTTACGGTTGAATGGTGCCAATTGAGTGATTAACTGTGTCGTGCACCTTATACATGAAAGGCCCTCCACCGTTATATTCTTCGATTTTAGCTCGAGTGCTGACCATTGCGAGTGCAGAGTTGTACGATCTAATGTTCTCTTTGTAGTTTCTGCTCAAATGATTTGCTCCATTAAGTAGGCTCTGGATATAATAGCTTTCTCGGTATAATGGTGGATTCACTTTTCCTTTATGGCAGCAGGATGAAAATCCTTCGCCTAGTCCTCTTTGTTCTTCTTTAAAATGTAGCGCACCACATTTCTGACAGTTTAATGCCATCTCGCCAAGTGAGTGCTGCTGAGTACTTGTATTTGTCAGTGTGATTTTGTAAGTGTACACGTTGCCACTCACGGTTCCAGCTCCTTGTCTGGGCTCCTTACGTTTTGCATTGCTTGCCGTATGTAAACTCGCCGTGTCCGACCAGCAATATTTCTTTGTCGTCTTGGCATGTTTAAACGAAAATAAAATGCAAAACCTTTATCCCGTCGTGTCCTGTAGTTAAAATTTCTTTGTCGGGTTTCTAATTATTTTTAAAAAGATGCAAACTGTTTACATTTCAAAACAAAACAGCTGGGATTTATTTAATTGTTTAACTAATGTATTGGGATCCAGCTGATGATATGGTTAATAACGCTTGTTATTGTTTTTTGCTCTCCCTATTTTTACTTTTTTTAATAATTTGGATTTTCTTTTGAAGTGTTTCTTTTCTATTTTTAGTTACTTTTTTGTGTTTCTTTCGAACTTTCTATAAATTTCATATAAGTTAACACATTAAATGAACGGGACAAACTCTGTCTTGAAACCTCCAATTCTAACCTATCATGAAGACCATAGCTACCCATCAACAAGTCAAAATATTACTACAGTCAACAATGGTAAGCATCATATTTTAGACGACTCATCGGCACCACCAAACAAAATTTTCCTCACAAATTCATCACACCAACTAGAAGTTAGCACAATGGAACTAGAAAACAACCATGAAGGTGAATCAAGTGAATTTCAACTAGTATCCAATAGAAAAGCTAAATCATCATCTTCAAACTTCCAACCATCCACCAAACGATACAAAACAGTAATACAAAACAGGTTTAGTCCTTTAGCATCCACTACCGACAATGACGAAACTGACGAATTTCCTAACTCTTCTGATAAATCTCGCATTCCACCCATTTTCTTCATGACTCGAACAATTATCAAGCTTTGATCGCAGACCTTGACAAAGTCTTAACGCAAAATTATTTTACCGTGAACAAAGGTAGTACCATCAAAATAAATGTGTCTTCATCGGATGACTTCCGTGCACTAACAGCACATTTTGACAATTTAAAAGTACAATATCACTCTTTTTGTTCTCCTGAAAACAAACGTCTCTCTGTCATAATGCGGAACGTCCCAATCTCCCTTTCTGACGAAGAAATTCACACAGAACTTAAACGAATGAATCTGCCAGCTCTAAAAGTTACTAGACTATACAACAAAAATAAATATCCAATACCTCTTTGTGCCATCGAGCTCGAGGACTCCGACTCTGGCAATGACATTTTTGGCCTTGAATTTATTTTCCATTCAAAAATTCAGATTGCACTAAAGCAAAAGTCTAAATCCATACCTCAGTGTATTAGCTGTCAACACTATGGACACACTAAAAACTATTGCAAACTTGATCTCCGTTGTGTTAAATATACAGGAAACCATTTATTTTCAGATTGTCCTAAAAAGAGAGAAGATCCAGTCCAGTGTGTTAACTGTAATGAGTCGCATACAGATAATTATCGTGGTTGCCCTAACTACGTCAGCCTTAAGATATGAGCAATCAGCAAAATAAATCAACCAACAACTAATCAAACGGAAATCAGCCATAATCAAGTTCAATACAACTCAAGTCATGGTTTTTTCCTTCCACCATGAACTCAAGTAGTACTCATTTTCCTGCTTTGTCAACCAAAAACCGCAATCCTCCAGCAAGTTGAAGTTCACAAAGCGAAAACTTTGCTACCCCACACAAAACTTATGCCAATGTTACAAACGGATCGAAACATAAACCTACTGAAACACAAACTCCCCATCCTGAACCTGAAAACTCAGAACACGACTCTCTTCACCCTATTTTAAAATCACTATTATCTATATATTAATTTGAAACGGTTTTTCTTTGTCATAGCTATTTTGAGAGAACGGCTGGGCGTAGAAACTCGGTAGGGGTGTCTAAAGAAAGGTCTTGGTCTGTAGATAAGCCTTCAAAAGAGAAACGTGGTGAATTCCCTCGGGGCTCTGCCCCAGTGGCCTTTAAAGTCCCATCCCATGTTATTCTTATGGAGGAAAACGGGGTTTTTGTCACAGCTAATTTGAGAGAACAGCTGGGTGTAGAAACTTGGTAGGGGTGTCTAAAGAAAGGTATTGGTCTGTATGTGAGCCCTCAAAAGAGAAACGAGGTAAATTTCCTTGGGGCTCTGCCCCAGAGGCCTTTAAAGTTCACTCAGCAATTTTGTTTACATTATGACCATATGGATAATTTTACACTACTTTTAATGAACCAGCTGTTATTATTAAAATTGTATCCAAAGGTCTACTGAAACTGTCAAAATTAAATGTTTACATTATTATTTATTTATTTTTTTGTCACAATTTTATTTACAATCTGTTCATTTTTAGAACATTTAGCAAATACAATAACAACTTTTAATAAAACGTTAGTTAATCTCTGTCCATTGACAGAGCTAACTTAAAAATATTTCGATGAAAAAATAAATATGTAAATAAACAAGGGAAAATTAAATTGTTCAAACAAAACGTGTGCTTGGATCCAAAACATGAATCCTTTTTAGGGAATGGGCACACGGGAGGGACTAAGGCTAAAGGTGTAGTGACGTTATATCTCGTGGCTAATGTAATGTCTACTCTTGAGGCAACACGATTACCCTAACGAAACGAAGTGATTTCAGCGGCGTTCGTGGAATAGTAGATAGCGTTTCGGATTGATGTTCAGGAGGTCCCGGGTTCGAATCCTGCTAACAGCACTAATTTTTTGTCAACAATTTTTCATATCAGCAAGTTTGGTTGGTTAGGTTAGGTTATGACAGTTTAATTTTATAATACTAAATTTTAAAATTAATTTTATAATTAATTAAAAATTATAAGTAATCATTAATTAGATTTTTATGTTATACAGTTTTTATATTATCAGCAAGTCTCGTTGGTTAGGTTATGTTATGACAGTTTTATTTTAAAAAATAAAAATTTATTTTATAATTTAAAAACAATATTTTATAATTAAAAAGTTAATTTTATAAGTAAAAATTAAATAAAAAATTAAATTTCTTCAACTTAGCGGTTCTAGCGGCGAATGCTGACACTACAAGATATGTTAGCCTAAGTCCCTCCCGTGTGCCCCACCGCCTTTTTAGCCTGTATATACTGGTACTGTTGTACAAGAGGTTTAGAGCCAGGTGATTAGGGTGATTTTCAAGTTTCTTTAGATATTTTGCACTAAATTTGGTAATTTCCTCTTCAACCGTAGGAATTCCACTGTCCTTGTGAAGGATATTGTTATTAACAGACCACGGGGCTTGCAGAATGAACCTTAAAACTTTTGACTAAAATCGTTGGATGATGTTTATGTTCGACATACTGGACGTTCCCCACAGTTGGATTCCATAAGTCCAAATTGGCTTCAGGATTACTTTGTATAGTAATAATTTATTTGCAATGGTCAGTTTTGATTTACTATTTAGGAGCCAGGAAAGATTTTTTGAGCGGAGCGAGCGAAGCTCTTATACGTCGACTCTTATGCATTTCGTAATACGCAAACTCCTCCTAGACGGCTGCATCAATCGTTTTCAAATTTTGCATGGTGATAAAGACCATATCGGTGAGTGCCAACATCTATATGGCGATAAAAAAGTCTCTCAGGAATCTGCCCCACTGGGTCTCAAAGTTTCAATGTAATCCTTATGGAAGCAGTATTTGACACATAAACAAAGACATATGATCAGCTGTTGACTTTTGAATGCAGTAGATAAAGAAATAGCTGATAGCATTATTCCACAGATATTAGAACAGAAACGGTATGGATCATAAATATAATCAAATGACGACACTAGCTTGAGGTCCGTGACGTATGAAGTGGTAAAGGAAGTAGTAAATGCGAGCAGTCTGGAGTGTGGAAACTGTTTATAACGATTAGATTAAGGTATCTGAATTCCTAAAATTCTTTGGGAAGGGAGGAAAACCGGTCCGCGACGTAGGACGTGGTGAAGGAAGTAGTAAAGGCGAGCAGTCTGGAGCGTGGAAACTGTTTATGACGATTAGATTAAGGTATTTGCATTCCTAAAATTCTATGGGAAGTGGGAAGGGAGGAAAACAGGTCCGCGACGTAGGAAGTTGTGAAGGAAGTAGTAAAGGCGAGCGGTCTGGAGTGTGGAAACTGTTTATAACGATTAGGTTAAGGTATCTGCATTCCTAAAATTCTATGGGAAGGGAGGAAAACAGGTCCGCGACGTAGGAAGTGTTGAAGGAAGTAGTATTATTCCACAGA